CCCACCCCACTCCTCCTCCTTCCCCCTTCTGTCCCCGCCTGCACAAACCCAGCATGGGCTTGGCCACAAAATAGCATCACACATGGCCCTTCGCCTCCCTGCGGCACCCCTGGGCTCTGAGTGATGGGCCGGACTAACCCTCACGTGACCTCCACTTTCGGGGGCCAAGGGGGTGATGGCGCTTCTCACTGCGGGGAAGCAGGGGGAGCAGACAGAGAAAGACGGGGATATGGGAGGCGTGTGCAATCCTGTGGGACATCCAGGTGGAGATGCCAGGGCAGCCGTTAAGCTGTAAGGTTGTCGTGAAACTGGGTCCCAGAGGCCAAAGCTGGAGACACGTTTGGAAGTCATCCGCTCTTAAAGGCACAGCACTGGCTGAGGCCCCTTACAGAGTAAATGGACATAAAGACGCTCTCAGGTGGGGTCTGAGGCCACGGCAGCCAGCGTGGGGGGGGGGGAGGGAGGTGAGGAGGAGCATCAGGGAGGGATGAGCTGTGTCCCGGGAGCCACCTGAAGAGAGTGACCAGGCGCAGGAGTGATGTCATCGCTTTCCATACAGTGGTGTTCATGAGACGTGCCCTGTGAGATGTGCACTTTGGGGGGCACCTGGGTGGCTCCGCAGGTTGAGCGTTGAGGATCTGACTCGATTTTGGTTCAGGTCCTGATCCCAGGGCTGATTAATTAGGGGCGCCTGGGGGGCTCAGGCGGTGAAGCGTCCGACTTCGGCCCAGGTCATGATGTCACGGTTCGTGGGTTCGAGCCCCGCGTCGGGCTCTGTGCTGACAGCTCGGAGCCTGGAGCCTGTTTCGGATTCTGTGTCTCCCCCTCTCTGCGTCCCTCCCCTGCTCGTTCTCTGTCGCCCTCTGTCTCTCAGAAATAGATAAACGTTTAAAAAATTTAAATAAAAAATAAAATTACTTAAATAAAAATAAACAAATGAAAAAAATGAAACGTGCAGCCTGAAGTGCTCGTTTCACCGGCCAGATGAGACGCGCGCCGAGAAGCGCCCTCGGGCCCAGCAGGGCAGCAGCGACGGGCAGCAGGGCGAGGTGGGACGGGCGCGTGTGGCAGAGGCAGCTCTTTCAAGACGTTCTGCTGTAAACGGGACAGAGAGAGGGGTGCTAGGTGGCGGAGCCGTATGCCCAGGGGGGTTGTTTTGTCTGTTCCGATCGATCGCTGGCCTTTGCTTTTGGCATCAAGGCAGAGATACTACAGCACATTTACGTGACTACGCGAATCAAGGAAAGGGGCTAATGAGAGACTCAGTCAAATGCCAGTTACTAGACGGATACCAGTTCCAAGCACACGCTCGGTCTCCCTGGGGAAACGGGCCCAGCCTTCCATCGCGTTTTGCTTGCTGAGGCCCTGAGTAGTTTGGCGGGGGAGGGAGAGCGGCACGTCAGAGTGGGAAGAAGCAGGTATTGTCCAGTTCAGCCTCCAACTCTATTCAAAACTCCAGCCACTGAAGTGCCTTCCCTCCTTACATGCCTCCTCAGCCCAGAAGCTCATGATCTCACAAGACGGCCCATTCCGTTCTTGGTCAGCCATCCCTGTGACAAAGCTGTTCCTCACGATGAGCTAAAACTGCCTCCTTACGGTTCTCCAAATCCCGGCTTTGCTTCCCGCTCATGCTGGTCAGGCCCCGCCCTCTGGGGCCGTAAAAAGGCTCTTGGAAACAGTGCCCCGCACCCCGTGTCTCCTCTCCAGGCTGTGGGTCCGTGGACACCTCCCGGGGCGTCGTGCTGAGACAGCAGCACCCACGCATGGCGCTTTCACACGGACTCCCAGGCCACATCCCTGTTCAGCGCTGCGTCACAGAGGCTCGAATACGGGACTTCATCAGCCTGAGTTTTGGGCCCGTAAAACACAGCGGTTTAGGGGCGCCCGGGTGGCTCAGTCGGCTGAGCCGCCACCTCCTGATTTCTGCTCCGGGCATGATCCGCATCGGGTTCTGCACCGAGTGTGGAGCCTTCTGGGGATTCTCTCCGTCTCCCCCTCGCCCTCTGCGCCCCTCTTCCGCGCACGTGCTCGCTCTGCAAAATAAAAAAAAAACTGTTACTTAAAACACACTTACTTAAAACACACACACACACACACACACACACACACACACGTTTAGGGTCAGCCCTGCAGAGCCCGATCCGGCAGCCGAAATGATGACATTAGGATGTCGTTCCTGTTCTCGCCCCCAGGCGGCCTCCTGGGCTGTCGCACGGGGGGGGGGGGGACCCCGGGGGGGGGACCCCCATCCCCACACCAGGCGGGGGGTCCTGACCCGGAACCCGCAGATGGCTCCTTTCATCTCATTGGCTACGTCTGCAGGCCTGGGCCAGTCACAGTGGCCAGGGACAGGCTCAAGCTAATTAGCACGGGGAGGAGCCACAAGCCCCGCCCTCCCCCGAGCACCCCGCCGGGGCAGGCGAGCAGGTGAGACACGGGGGGGGGGGGGGGGCCACCAGTGGGGGAGGTGCTGGGTGGCCCCAGGCGGCCGACGCCCTGCTCTGGGTCCCGAGGGCGGCCCCGCACGTCTGTCCCCTTTTCTTTGGCTCAGTCCTCAGGATGCTGGATCCACCCACCGACCCCGGGCCGCACACCTGCTGGGTCTCTGCGGTGCCCCGTCCCGTGTCCCCGTGTCCCCGTCCCCGTGTCCTCGTGTCCCCGTCCCCGTCCCCCGTGTCCCCG